AGACACGAGTCAAGATGGGCGGAGAGGACAGGTAAATGCGTGTCATCAGCATAGAAATGATAATGGAAGCCAAACGAGCTGATGAGTTTACCAAGGGAGGCAGTGTAGATAGAGAACAGTAGGGGACCAAGGACAGAACCTTGGGGGATGCAGACAGATGGTGGTTGGGGGGAAGATGCAGAGTCAGAGAAAGAAACACTGAAAGAGCGCTAGGAGAGGTAGGAGAAGCACCAGGAGAGAGCAGTATCCCGTAGACCAAAATTACGGAGAATGTGAAGAAGCTGTTGATGATCAACAGTATCAAAGGCAGCAGAGAGATCAAGGAGAATTAGGATAGAGTAATGTCCGCGAGATTTAGCAGCAATTAAATCGTTGGATACTTTGGTCACAGCCGTTTCGACAGAATGACCAGTGCGGAATCCAGATTGAAGGGGGTCAAGAAGAGTTGGTTTCTAGAAAGTCAGTCAGTCTGGTGTACATAACTTATCATACTTACCCCCAACCATGCCACACTCACTCTGTCACATAAACCGCTCCTAATCTTGTCACGCTCACCTCCCCTCAATCTTTCACACTCCCTCCTCCAACCATGCCACACATCATTGTCTCTCCTCACCCTGTCACACTACCTTCTCCAACCATGTCAGAATCACCCTCCAACCCTGTCACACTTACTGCCTGTCCCTGTCTCATTCACTCCCTCGCACTGTCACAATCACCTTGCCATAGTTACCCCTCTACCCACCCTGTCACAGTCATCCACTGAAGGCAATCATCATACACACAGAGCCATGAAACATAGTGGTAGGGCGGGGTCCAGGGATTCCAAGCAAATGCTTGACCAGGGTTCAATCAATATTAAAGATGGTCCTGATTGCAAAGCAACCCTTTTATTGCAGGAAATTCCAGCAGGACAGTGAAATGTGTCTGTTTTGAACATAGCTGTAAGTAATGCATTTCTTTTCCAGAGACTGTGTATTTGTTTAGCTGCCTAACTTGCCACACAGCTGCAATGAGGTACCCAAAACACAACCGCTCCATCATGGTAATACGAGTGGCACTGCAGAGAAAATCTGTTACCAGCAAGGTAAATACAAACAGGGTTATGTAATGCAAGGCAGTAAAGGAGTGAATGGGGGGGAAGATAATGCAAAGAGAAGAGAAGGCCAGAGAGATGGAAATAGGAGGAAAAAGAGGAGTGAGACTGTGCTAATACAGAGAAACTGGTGTGTAGGAAATATGGAAATGAGTGAGAGACAGTGGTTGTAAGTGAGATAAAAAAGAAAGGTCCTTGCCTTTAGGCTATAAGAAGCATAGGTGCTAAAAGAAGCAAAATCTGATGGCTGCGAGTTGAGCTTTTTTTTTTTTTGACAATTATTATATCTACTTTAAAAGGATACTGTAGTCACCAGAACAAGTACAGCTTAATGTATTTGTTCTGGTGCGTATAATCAGTCCCTTCAGGCATTTGTTTCAGAGAAAATGTTTACATTACAGCCTATGGACACCTAGGGAAACCTCTACAGGCCACTCCTCAGATGGCTACTAGAGGTGCTTCCCAGGACACTGCTGCACAACTGAACTTTCCTCATAGAGATGCATTATTCAATGCATCTTTATGAGGAGATGCTGATTGGCCAAAGTGGGGGGTTGGCTCTGCCCCAGATCTGCCTCCTTGACAATCTCAGACAATCCAATGCTTTCCTATGGGAAAGCATTGTAATTGGCTGAGATCACCACTTCTAAAGATGTCAGCCAAAGAGGCAGACCAGGGGCAGACCCCTTTTACTATATTTAGGGGAGCAAGGGGTGCCAAAGGGGCTAGATGGTGTGTTAACACTACAGGGTCAGGAATACATTTGTATTCCTGACCCTATAGTGTTCCATTAACTGCTGACATCTGTATCCACTATCAAGTCACCTAGAGTTAGCTGTTTGTCGGCAGGTTTATCTGTAAGTCATTAGAGAAAGGGTACAACCACATGGGGAGAATCCATCAACAAATTATGTGTTAGTATGTAATCCACAAGTGACCTATTGGTGGAAGGGATGAGGAAAGCAATAGCCCCCTGAATTCCTTACAAAAAAATCCCAGAATCAGATAGAGCACCACCACAGCTCCTGTCTTCAATGCAAAGTTTGTAATCTTCTCTACCCACAATCAGATGTTTGGCAGTTTGTTTTGTGATGGACACCATGGAACCCCACTTGGCCACCAACCATCATAGTTACATAGTTACATAGTTACATAACTGAAAAGAGACTTGCGTCCATCAAGTTCAGCCTTCCTCACATTTGTTTTTTGCTGTTGATCCAAAAGAAGGCAAAAAATCCAGTTTGAAGCACAATTTTGCAACAAGCTAGGAAAAAAATTCCTTTGTGACCCCAGAATGGCAGTCAGATTTATCCTTGGATCAAGCAGTTATTACCCTACACTGAAAGATTATATCCTTGAATATTCTGTTTTTGCAAGTATGCATCTAGTAGCTGTTTGAACATCTGTATGGACTCTGATAAAACCACTTCTTCAGGCAGAGAATTCCACATCCTTATTGTTCTTACAGTAAAAAAAACCTTTCCTTTGCCTTAGACGAAATCTTCTTTCTTCCATTCTAAACGCATGACCTCGTGTCCTATGTAAAGTCCGGTTTATGAATAGATTTCCACACAATGGTTTGTATTGGCCCTGAATATATTTGTATAATGTTGTCATATCCCCTCTCAGGTGACGTTTTTCTAAACTAAATAGGTTTAAATTTGTTAACATTTCTTCATAGCTGATATGTTCCATTCCTTTTATTAGTTTTGTAGCCCGCCTTTGCACCTTTTCTAGTGCCATAATATCCTTCTTTAGAACAGGTGCCCAAAATTGCATAGCATATTCAATATGTGGTCTTACCAGTGATTTATAAAGAGGCAAAATGATATTCTCTTCCTGAGAATGAATGCCCTTTTTCATGCATGACAATACCTTACTGGCCTTGGCCACTGCTGATTGACATTGCACATTGTTGCATAGTTTGTTGCCTATAACAATTCCCAAGTCCTTTTCGTGTGTTGTTATCCCTAATTCACTTCCATTAAGGGTATACGGGTATACATCAGTTCCAATCTAGCCCACCAGATCTGATACTTAACAGCAGGCTGGCTGTGTAGTGTATAAGTAGCTGGTCAATCTGAAAATAGATGAAAGGCGACTGTAGTACCTAGAATCAGACTACCTCTGTGCAACCTGCATACAACCCTCTGTCGCTATAGCAGAGATAATGGGACACAGTACAACAAAAAATGAGTCTGTGTTATCAGTTGTAAATGTTTTATTGAAGGACACACACTACATAAGTCCAAGACAACCCTAAAAATCTAATTGGGCGCCTTCCCTGGAGTACACTTCCCATAGCTCTGGTTCCCCACCATCAAACAGAGTCACATGATGTTCCTGACGTCACATATAACATGTTTAGCGTTCTCCATCATAGGCAGTGCCGGCGCATCCTATAGGCGACTTAGGTAATTGCCTAGAGCGCAACACCCTGGGGGGTGCAAGTTTCGAGTGACCCGGCAGGAGGGAAGCATACAGCGCTCCCTACTACCAGTTCATTCTGTGTAGCGTGGCCGGGTGGCACGGACCTCAGTACAGAAGCTTCCTGTACCCGGCCGGACTGAAAGGAAGTGCTCTCTCAGTGAGCATTCAGTGAGGGGATAGCACTAAGGCACAGGAGGGGATGGGAGACCGCTAAGGGACAGGGGGAGAAGTGGAGTTGAGACCACTAAGGGATGGAGGAAGTGGAAGAGATCATTAAGGGACAGGGGGAGTGTAAGATACACAGAAAGGGTGAGGAAGGGGTGAAAGAGAAGCACAGAATGACTGGTAGAGGAGACAGAGGCACACAGAGGGACTCAGGAGAGAGACACACAGAGTCAACTGTGAGGGAGACACACAGAGGAGCCTGGGGGAGAAAGAGACACAACAAGGAGCTGGGAAGAGTAAGACACAAAGGGGCTTGGGGGAGTAAGACACGTAAAGGGGTTGGGAGGATGTAGGAGACATACAAAGAGGGGGGATAAGAGACACAGAAGGGGTTTGTAAGAGATACACTAAAGCGGAGGGCAGGCCTTGTAGGCATACTCATGGTCAGGCCCTGGGGGCCCAGACCGTGATCTGTGTAAGGGGCCCCAAAAAATGGAGCTGCTTCCTGTTCATTGTTTTTGTGAGCACTCCTCCAGAGAGCCTGTTTTAACACCAGACCAGAGGAGCCAGACTGCAGCCTAAGCCCATCATCATCTTCTTATCCTCATCTGGTGGTAAGTAGGCAATGCAGTATATTGTTAGTGGCACTAATCACTAATTTACCTCATATTAAAGGGCCACTATAGTCACCAGAACCATCTACAGCTTGATGTAGTGGTTCTGGTGTCTATAGCCTGTCCCTGAGGCTTTTTAATGTAAACACACTGCCTAGGGCATCAAAAATCCTTGCACCGACCCTGATCATAGGAAATGTTGCTAGGATAGAGATACACAGAACATAATGTTTCTCATAGTAGCATCCTATCAAGGAATTGAAATAGCCAGCAAGCATTCTTTTAAGGTATGTATGTCATATAAAGGCATAATTTTGAATGTAAATGACAAAAAAAGAGGCAAAGCCACATATACTGCTACATTCTAATGTAGCAAAAAGCTAACAACAAGAATAAAAAAAGCCAAAAAAGGCTCTGTATATCATACCGGAGACAGGAGGAATAGACTGGTAGCCAGAAAAATGCTAGTATATTTCTAAAACAGTAGCATAAGCAAGGGAAGATGGAGTAAATATGGAACATTTTAACGGAAAAAAGGTTAAAGGTGAATAGAATGAAATAAAATAACAAAGACTCATTAAGCAGTGGGTACAAGTTGCTTCAGATACACGAACCAGTGCCATTCAAGCTTCTCATTAAGACTATGAGGGAACACTGTATCCAACTTAATTTGTAAAAATCAAAGATATAGCTGGTCACTCTGTATTTGGCAAATATATATCGGGACCGGGTCCGCAATAGTTCAGCTTGTCTGTCGGGCTCCGTTGGGCAGGATAGTGCAGCGGCGGCCGTCCACTCCACTTACTGCTGGGTAAGGTCCCGCCGTTGCAGCAGAGTCCTCTCCCCCGAGGGACTAAAATTCCAGGAGCAAGCCTCTCCTTGGCTCCGGTGGTCCTTGCACACCGAGAGTCGCAATTGTTGGTCCTGTATTTTATTGAAAGTCCCGGTTTACAGGCTTGGTAGATCGTGGTTTGCAGGAGCTGGTCTTTCCTGCGGCCGTTCATCTCGGCGGCCGAGCCCCGCCCTGCCCCGCCCCCAATAGTGGATAATGTTGATGACCAACCTTGTAAGAAACAGTTGTTGCTATGTAAACCTGTACATGAGACATACAATTTCAGCTGTAACTACTCTAGTGGGGTTATCAAAGGGGAATTGTGCACACATCCCAGGAGTGGAGAGCAGATTCATTTGAAAGGGTTCTTCTCTTGTCAATCTGATTTTGTGGTGCATATCCTGAAGTGTCCATGTGGCTTAGACTACATAGGGAAGACCATTTATGACCTTTAAAAACCGAGTATCACAACACAAGACTTCTATCTGCAATATTGAGTCTGACACATGGGTTGCAAAGCACTAAAGAGAGATGCACCACAAAGTATCAAAATTAAAAAAGCTGGTTTAGGACAGGGTACCCCACTTATTGGGTAGAGAATAGGGAGAATCTGCTACTCTAGATGGAAGTTAGGTGAATGTACTGGCTTGATCCTTTTAAACACAATTTCTTGATTTCTTTTGTTTAGTTAGATTATTGCTTCTTCTATGTTTTTGGTATAATGTACACAGCCCTTTTTGTATTTTTTGATTCCTCTTGTTGGCTATTTGCTAGATTAGAATTTGTTATTTGCCTGTGTTTATCAATGATGGAGGACACCACGCATGTTCTGTGTGACGTCATGAGTGATCATGTGATATCGCCCATGAAAGGTGTGTTGATACTGTCCAATTTTCTGCATATATTTGGGTGTGTCTTTATTGCCTGTTTAAGGACATTATGCATTGACAATGGTATTGTGTGTCCATTCATAAAATAATGCAAGACTAATGGGTGATGTCAGTAATTCGTTGTAGAAGCAGACTGAGCATATCTGATGTCTATATTCTAGACTATTTTTATCTCCCCAAAAAATCGCTCAAAATGTGGGATCTGTGATAAACACCCAGATTTTGAATTTCCCCTACTTTTAATTTAATTTCTTTCATATCCTTTGAGTGCTCAAGCAAAGACGGTATAGCAACTCAATACCCAATGGGGAGAGACTAACACACATCATTTGTGTGTATTTAATAAACTCACATTTTAAAAATCTTAATTGATAGAATATCTATAAACATTTTTTTCAAACCAGGAGATAGTTCATCCATAACCACAGATATGCAACTGCAAGGTCCAGAAAGGTTCTACTTTTCTAAACGACTTGTTTTTATGCATCTGTTGGAGCCAGCACTTGTTGACGTTTTCACAAATAATATGCATGATGTAAAATGCAATTGAAAACACTTTATTTCCAAGATATGTTTTTCTAAATATAACTGACAGCTTAATTAGCAGACAGAATGTGAGTGAATGTGTCTGTTTCACTAGGCTGCGTCTCCACTTAAACAAATTACCGGAGCGGTGTGAAATGCTACAGTATTCTATGAAAATATGATTTAAAAATGTATAGTATATCAGGCAGAAATACAGAAAGCTGCAATTCTCTTCATTGTGATGCTTAACATCAAGTTGAATGCATTGTTGGGTGCAAGTGGTTTGAGATGAATGTTCTAGAGCACAGGGAGTTGGATGAGTAGAGACAAAGGTATAGAGGAGCAAGAGGACAAGGATAGGAGAAACCCAAAATAGTAAGCAGGATTTTTCATCACTCCATGAATTGTTAGAAATTCTGCAAATTGCAATGTTTTGGTCTAAATAACCAAATCTAAAAAAATTACCAAATCTACTATATTTCCAACTGTGCAATCTTGGTCCTGCATTTTAAATCCCCCCTGTGAATTCCTGGCCATTTTTCACTAAACTAAGAATTTGTGGAGAATTGAAATGGATTTTTTTGTTCCGGAAAAATATCATATTTAGGGATTTTTTTTCAGCCTGGGATCTTGGACTAACGCTTGTAATTCCAATGTTATTTCTTCACAATTTGCAGTTTACGAATACAGCCCAGTGTATTCAGATCAAATTGGTTCATTGAGATTGCTCATTAATAAATCTCGATATTGCTTATATATTCTTTATCAACATTTCAGGAATATTTTTTTTTTCTGTATTCATCTTTGCTGCTTTTACTGGGATGCTTTTGAAGCTTTCGATATTTAATATATTTTTTATAAAGCAGAATTTTCTCATGTTACCTCTCAGTCCTTACTATCCAGTCTCTGCCTTTATCAAATAAGTACAGACTTTCGGTAGGCATTTACCCCCTCGTTTGCTTATTTTCTTACAATTTTAGATTACTGTATTTAGATTTATCCTTGAAATGAGCATCTCCATCTGTGCTCCCTGTCAATCATTGTTATAAACTCTATCCTTTTCTGTCATTGAACATCTTGGAGAAGATTTATCAAAGTGTTGCAAAAAAGTAGTGTTGTCATCAATAGAAGGTGTCTGTTGGTTTTACTGGTTTCCACATTGATTCACCCACTTCTAAACCATATTTTAGGACCAAACACTTTCATTAATCTCCCCCATTAAAGATAAACAAAATTTGAAAAGGGGTCCGCTTAGTTATTATTATTTATTAAGCGCCCACAAATTCTGTAGCGGTGAACAAAAGGTGGACAAAGAGACAAGTATTTACAACAAGACAAGTTGTACTGAGGGTCCTGATCAAACAAGCTTACGATAGAGGGAGTGAGATAAAATGACACAAGAGGTAAGGATAGAATGTGTTTCATTTACAGGAAAAGTAAGTTGCTAAAATAGTGAATGGTTAACTTTTTGGATGACACAGTTGCAGGAGAGGAAGCAGGATGGTTAACCAAGGTGGGGAGAGGGAAAGCTATTAACAGTTTAATTGATCCGCTTTCTTAAAGAAGTACCTTTTTAATTTTTTTTGTGAAGGAATGGAGACTGGGTGAGAGTCTAACAGAGCAGGGAAGGGAGTTCCATAGAAACCGTGCAGCCCTAGAGAAGTCTTGAAAGAGGGTGTCAGAGGGTGGAGTACAAACAAAGAATAGATGCAGACCTTCAGCAGAGTGTAGGGCCCTGGAAGTGACATACTTGTGTATAAGGGAAGATAGGTAGGTAGGAGCAGCGTTGGGTGTTGCATGTGTTGAAGATGGGTGTTGCAACAGGACAATGACCCAAAGCATAGCAGTAAATCAACAACAGAATGGCTTAAACAGAAGAAAATACGCCTTCTGAAGAGGCCCACTCAGAGTCCTGGCCTCAATCCGATTGAGATGCTGTGGCATGACCTCAAGAAAGCGATTCACATCAGACATCCCAAGAATATTGCTGAACTGAAACAGTTCTGTAAAGAGGAATGGTCAAGAATTACTCCTGACTGTTGTGCACGTCTGATCTGCAACTACAGGAAACGTTTGGTTGAAGTTATTGCTGCCAAAGGAGGTTCAACCAGTTATTAAATCCAAGGGTTCACATACTTTTTCCACCTGCACTGTGAATGTTTACATGGTGTGTTCAATAAAAACATGGCAACATTTCATTCTTTGTGTGTTATTAGTTTAAGCAGACTGTGATTGTCTATTGTTGTGACTTGATCACATTTTATGGCCAATTTGTGCAGAAATCCATATCATTCCAAAGGGTTCACATATTTTTTCTTGCAACTGTATTTATATATAATATAATTTATATATAATAATATCTATTTAATATATAGAAGTATATATTAAATAGAAGTAATATTGCACTAATCCACTGGCACATCCACTGAGGATACCACAGACAGACAAGTCAAAAGACAATCCTGATGGAAACCTAAAGTGCTAGATCCTGCAACAATTATGCTCCCAATAAACAAGTACATGCAGATAGAAGCAGTCAATGGTAAGAATAATAGCAGACACAAGCAACACCAAATAACCGAATATAGGACAGTCTCTCCAGTCTAGCTGAAAGGGAGACAGGCAATAGTAACTGTAAAGGAATGTCATGCCAGTAGAACGTGAAAGTCTGTATAGGTTTAAAGAGACACTGTAGGCACCCAGACCACTTCAGCCCATTTAAGTGGTCTGGGTGCCAACTCCCATCACCCTTAACCCTGCAAGTGTAATTATTGTAATTTTTATAAACTGAAATAATTACCTTGCAGGGTTAAGTCCTCCTCTAGTGGCTGTCTACACTAGAAGCCACTATAGGGACTTTCGGGTTCTCAGACGACTTTTGGTCATCTAAACGAGGCTGGGCGTCCTCACGTTATGCATGAGGACCTCCAGCATCACCGGAATCCCCATAGGAAAGCATTGAATAATACTTTCCTATGGGGAGGTCTAATGTGCGCGCGGCTATTGCGGCGCATGCGTGTTAGGTCTCCCTCTGCCGATGTCTGACGGCGGGGGAGGAGCATGGGCAGAGCCTGACATCGGCGCTGGATTCAGGTAAGTCACTGAAGGGGTTTTAACCCCTTCAGCAACGTGGGATGGAGGGTGGGAGTGAGGGGGGCACTCCAGGATTCTACAGTGCCAGGTTAACTGGTTTGTTTTCCTGGCACTAGAGAATTCCTTTAGCTGTGAATCAGAATGAGCAGTTACCGGATGTTTTGAAAATGGACATGATGTCACATTCTCACATCTTGCGCGTTTCATCTAAAGTAGATTTTCTCAAAGGCAAGCAGTAGGGTGAGCTGGGGAGGTGACAGGGCATACCAGCCCTAAGAGGGACAGATATAAAAGCAGCGCCTGCTAAGATCAAAGAGGGGCTGAGCGCCTACAATTGTAAAAATGATAATGATTACTGAACAATATATAAAACAAATATGACATAATAATAGTAATAATAAAAATATGCTGGCTGGTTAAACCTCTAGTGGCAGTCACTCAGATGGCCACTAGAGGTGCTTCCTAATCCAGTGCTGTGCAGTGTGCAGCACTGGTGTTTAGAGTCTCCACACTCTGCATTGAGACATTGAATGTTCTTCTTTATAGAGATGCATTGATACAATGCATCCCTATGAAGAGATGCTGATCGGCAAAGCACAGCGTTACGCTGTGCACGCACTACAGCCTCCCAAAGAAGTCCTATTAGAAAGCACTGGATTGCGTG